TTGAGTTTTTTAAGCAAAAATAAGCTTAAAAGAGGGTGAATGGGAAATGGAGGAAAAATAAAATTTTTACGTTTCCCTCCTTGACAATGGGACATAGTCCCATATTGGAAGAGGAAAAGGTTTTGATGGGTATATATACAATTGCTCTTCTTTTAGCTCTTAAAGTGTTAAGAACAAGGCAAGCCTCGCGCCTTCGTCGTCGTCGCTCGCTCGGCTCGGATTCGGCTCTGACTTCGTATTCGGATTCGGATTCGGATTCGAATTTGGATTCGAATTCGGATTTGGTCAAGTGATCGATTAATTGATTAATTTTTTGGACCAAATTTATTTGTTAATAGTAAATATTAACGTAATATTATTAAATATCCTTGTTTGTAACGGAAGATTAATAATCCAAATTATCCGTTTCATTGACTCTGCCCGTCCGTTTTTGTAACGGAAAACGTTTCTTCTGCCCGTTTTAATTTGCGTAAATGGCCATTTACGTTATGGCCAATTTACGTAACTGACCTCTCTTTTTTGAACTCAACAGGTTGGGGCTATAAATAAGTTGTCCATTCTCTCAGATTTTCCATACGAATTTCTGACTTCTCCTCTTTTCTTCTACATTATTTTAACTACTAAGAAAGCAACAGTAAGTGTGATTTGCTACTGATCTTTGCGTTCGCCGAAACATTGAGGTTTGAAGTACCGCTGCACCAGTGTGTAATTCGTCCTATCCTGGGAGAAAATAATCCACAACCTTGGGTACCAGGAGGGGATTAAGTTCCGTAAGGAAACACTCTGAATTCAGTGGGCTCGAATTAAATTCTGTTTCTGTTTATACTTTATTTTATATTCTCCAGAATTATTTTACAAATACAGTATAATAACAAGTATAATATCATATGAACTATTTTTTTATAGCACTATATGACATGTTTAAAACGGCCGAGAAGAACTGAAAAATATATAAACTTTACGAAAAAATTTGTACTTGTATGGGCCAAAAAATATCTTTAATATAGGCAAGTCATGTCAGTAGCATGATAGCCTTCATAGGCCGACACGTGCTATCAATAAGATGTCAACAAAGATCTTCCCCTGGTCGAAGTGGTCTCGAAGCTATGAAGGGTGAGGTCGAAGAATCAGTGAAGATCAAGGTCGTGAAGTCATCGTAGATCAAGGGCGAGCGTCTTAGACATAGTTACAACAACTAGTTTTAAGATAGGACACTAAAGAAAATATTCTAGTGGATATTCTCTGCACCTGTACTATTAATGTTTTTAGGAATATGTTCCCTATAAATAGAAAGAGACACAATGATAGGAGGGGAGATATTCACTTGTAAGAAAACACATTGGCTTTATTGAGAGAATCTGACCCTATTCCAAACATGCAAAAAATACATTTTTACTAAGATTCTTGCCTAACTTTTCCACTCGATCCAAGAACACCCCAAATGTTCAAAGGCTCATCAATCATTCATCACTGTCAGAAGGAATATCAACAGATCTCACCTCTTTTCGGGTGACTCATATGTTCTTGTTCACATAAATACCATCTATTGATTTAGAGCATGTTTGGAAAGCCACCTTGGAATTGGATTTGGGTGTAATTACACAGTTTGGCATGTTTATTTGGCCAAGTAATTACTTGGTCAGCATGGAATTGGGGGTAATTGGAGGGGTGTAATTACACTCTCCAATTCTCAAGGGGGAGGTGAGAACTGGTGGTAATTACACTGCGTAATTACAAGATTGCTTTTTAGTTTCTTTCCTTTTTGTTTTTATTTTAATTTATTTTCTTTATAACTTTTTATTTTTATTATTTTTATTTTTAATTTTATTTTTACTTTTTAATTTCTTTTGAAATTTTAAAATATATTTTCTTTGTACATTATTTATCTTTTATTTCTCTATCTTTACTTCTTGTTATTCCATGTAATTGATTATATTTTATTATTTATTTATTTTATTATTCTATTTTTTGAAACTACACCTCCTAATATTAGAAATAATGAGTCGTTAATAAACTTGGCATGTAATGAGTGATGCAATTAAAGTGGAACTTAATTGTTAAATGTGGTTATAAACTTATCATGTTTCCTATCTTAAGTTGCAGTGGGACTTACTATTATTATGTTGGAATTTGACATAAGTTAAACTATTTTATTTTTTTGAATTTTTGAAATTGTGTTATATTCATGGTTCCAATTTACTTGTTTTATAGTATTGACTCACATTGCATGTTGTTTATTTTTTTAGTTAGAATTGGTAGATTAGTTTTGTCAAACATTTGAATAATGTTATGACACTATATTTATAAATATTAATTTATTTTATCAAACATGAATTTCATGATTTTCTTACAAAACGTATATTTTTTTTAGTTTTTGTAAGTATCTAAACTAAATATTATTAGTTTAAAATATACATATAAATTATTTTAAAAATATTAGTTATAAATATATAATTATTAATTAATGTATATTCACGAAAAAATATACATCTTAAATACCAAATATATTATCATTTATACTTAGAAAATCTTATAGGTATATATTTATTATATTAATTTTTAGTTTTGATAATTATTTAATTTAAAATTTAATCTAACTGTGTAGTTACACTTGTGCAACCAAACAGTAAACTTGTAATTACACTGTAATTATACTATGACAAACAAACAGGCTATCGTAATTACACAACCGTGTAATTACTAGGCTGTGTAATTACTACCCTAGTAATTATACCAATTCCAATTACAAGGTAGCTTTCCAAACAGACTCTTATTGTTAGTTAATGCTCACCCACTCCCTTTGAGTCATTAAATATTGTTGACATTGTTCATATTTATTGTCATCTGACCTAACACACATGTATTATTTTATTACAAAATCTTTTATCTCATTTTTCGGATATTAATATGAACTAAGGTTAACCCTTCTTTATTTAAATATAATTAATTGAAGCAAGATCTATTTTTTTTAGGTAAAACAGTACTATTTTAAAGTATTAAAGAGACTGACCTGATTGGTTTGATTAAAACGTCTTACAATTTGCATCTGGTTTAATTTATTCAGAATTGAAAATCAACTAAAAACGAACCGTGCACGTTGTGTTAACTTGCACAAGTTGGTGGACAAATGTTGTATTTTTGGAAATGAGAGGTGAGGACTGAATTAATTATTGAATTATTGTACATTATTAGAATATATATTTTTTGTTTTATTAGGTACTCGTTATGTTTTGAAAGTCGCAGCAGGAATTAATTACTGAATTATTTGTACTATGTACTCTGTTAGGACCACGTGATAATCTAATACTGCTGTACAAATTAGAATATTGACCTGCTTATTGCAAATAAAGCGATAAGTTCCACGTCAGGATGTGAAATAATTGATATTTTGTGGATTAACCATGGTCGCCATTCTAATCACCATGATTAAAGGCTAATTATTAGCGAAGAAAAGGATAATTCATTTAGGCTGTGTTTGGTTTCCCATTTTCCATTGTTTGGTTGCACAAAACAGTTTGGAAATTTTTTCTTAGATATCACATTTTCCTGAAATTAGAGGAAAATGACTTTCCTACAAAAACTCTACCTACCCTCACATCTAACCCCTACCCCCTCCCCCTTCTCTCCCCTACCCACCTCTTTCGCGCCATCTCTCCAAAAAGGCTTTTTTTTTTCTTCGGATTTCAATTTTTTTTCTTTTCCGTCACCATCCACCATGTTAACCACACCACCCCCCCCCCCC